CTCTCTCTCTCTCTCTCTCTCTCTCTCTCTGTGTGTGTGTGTGTGTGTGTGTGTGTGTGTGTGTGTGTGTGTGTGTGTGTGTGTGTGTGTGAGTGTGTGTCGCTGATGGAGGAAGGGTCCGGTATTGTACTTGAGTCTTGAGCTTCATTTCTATCGTTTTTTCATTTGTGGTAGAGAGAATCAGATAGGTTGTCATTGAGGCAATGCTGACTGATGACACTTCAAATGCTTGTGATTCGAGTTCCCCCTAAATTGATTGTCTTAAAGAACTGTCCACTTAGCCATTGATGGACACGGAGAAAATGACATTGAACAGGGCCCAGTTTTTCTCTCCTCTTTAGATTTTTTTCCCCCTTTTTCTTTGTAATTTTACTCCTCTCCACTTCCTTGTAGGGAAAAAGTTTGAAAGGAACAGAAAAGAAATAAAGAAAGGGTTTAGCCGTTTGTATTGTCGAATGGGATGACGGTTTAAAAGTTTTGTACCTTCAAACTGGTAGCAAAATTTGGCTTGACCATAATACTATTAATAAGAGCCTTTTTTTTGTTTTTTGTTTTTTGTTTTTTGTTTTTTGGCATGTTATCAATAATCATCTGTGCAGTCCCTGCACAGGCACAATTGAGGTGCTCTTTTACGTTTTTATTATTATTTCTTTGATGTTCCTTCGGCTGGGCAGGTGCTCTTTTACCTTCTTCTTTGCTTAACTTTCTCTGACTTCGTGGGGAATATACCCTTCACACTAAGACTTTTTCTGAATGAATGGAGCAAAGATCCTGGACGGATACCTCCAGAGAAATTCAAGTGTAGTGTACCGTTATTGATTTCTTGTTACCTTCTTCGTTTGGTCTTCTCTGACTTGTCAGGGAATACTCTCACGCCAGGACTTTTTTCTGACGAATCTAGCTGCCGGCTGCTGTCAGATACATCCAGAAAAGTCCTAGTGTAGCATACGCCTGCTTAGTTATTCTCTCACTGATTTAAACATCCTTGAGTCTCGTCGCAGGCAGCAGTGAGATGCATCCACAAAGTTGTCGTCTAGCAAGCATACCCCTACTGAGTTCTTATTCTCTCTCTGATTTTGAAAATCCTTGAATCTAGTCGAAGGCAGCTGTCAGATGCATCCAGAAATTTCAGGTGCCACATACCTGTACTCATGTCTTATTCTCTCTCTGATTTTGAACATCCTTGAATCGAGTCGCCGGCAGCAGTCGGATACATCTAGTAAGTTCTGGTGTCGCATACCCGTGTTGATTTTATAATTCTCTCTCTGACTTTGAACATCCTCGGTATTCTTCCCCCCCCCCTCTTTTTTTGATTGGCAGGATGTGCTGAAGCTGGTGAAGAGCTTGCTGGGAGAGCAGGATGCTTTAGCATTTGCCGAACATGTAAGACCAGGTTCAACTGGTTCATCTCTTGTACCTGATGTCTTTTTTTTCATGCAATAAAAAACTAAGTAATTTAATATGACGTTTACTTAAGCCAAAAGGCACTCCCCCTCCCCCCCTCTTAAAAAAA